ACATCGTTTCCATCCTGAATCTGCTGAAATCTTTATTTGCGGTTATGTAAGTGGGGATGAGTGTTATAGTCAGTTAGTTGTAAGCATTTTAAGGGAATACCACTTCAGACTAATACTAACTTCATTTTCACGCAGTACTACAATAAGTCATTTCTAGCAGGGGCTTCTTCGGTTTTCTTGAAGCTACGACAGCGCAAGTTGGTCTGAGTACCTTTGATCCTGGCATTTGAACATTTTCATTACAATTCAAAATGAAAATGAAAACGCTTTTTATAGATTTCTGCTTGAATAACTGCCAAGAAAGCGAAATTGGCGTGTGAATGCGAAGTTTTTCCGACATTTAGTGGCTGGCTATGAGGTTTTAATGAACTATGTTGCCAGAGAGATACTATGAGCGAATCACAAAACGGATCAGTGATCAGTAATGCCAAATTAACTACCTGAAGAGAAACTGCTTTGGTTGTTTCAGAATGTTCATTTTGAGCTGGCGCCAGATTCACTGATAGAAATGGATTATTCTGAAAGTTAGGGTTGCACTATCAACACATAGTTGACTAGAATTATTGTCACTCAACTTATCAGAACAAAAAAAACTTTCCAAACAATTTACTTCCTATGTGGAGCGAAAGCATCGTAAAGTGTCTGTTAAACACAACCACGGTTTATTCTAACTTGCAGCTATAAACCGGGTAGATTAACAAGAAAAAAGACCTCTTACCGTATCACCGGGCGAGCCTTAGTTTCTCACGAAAACAGTAGCAGAACATTGGCGAAGTGTGGGGAGGCAGCAAAATATACCGGATCCGTCGAAGCACTGTCTGGTCACAATTAACTTCTTTGTTCTCGAAAACTGAACTACTCTGACCAACATTCCTAAGCCTCACACAAAAAAGCATGCAATACCTACTGTACTGTACCACAAAGGCGGAAAATGATCTATCACAGATTCCTGAGAATTCTTAATATTCTCGGCAGTACCCTACGTGATAGCAAATGTCAACAGCGACCATCCCTGACAAAATTGTTCGTGGCTTCCATTTTGAGGATGGCTTGCAAGCAAGCTGATGACTGTTTTGATTTCCAGATGTACGTCAGTATCAGTTTACCGTTGAAACGAGCTAGTGAATAGTACAGGAATTACAGATCTCGCTGACGAAGTGGTTCCTCTAATCGTCAACGTTAAAATCGTTTCACCTACCGCTACACCAAAGTCGTCAACATCTGAACCATCATGAAATCCTTTAACGATACCAAAAGATGAAAAAAAGGTAGCAAATTAGAAAGCGTTATAAATTTCCCCTACGTGTTCTCCGAGTATTCGCTTTTAAGCATGTCAGTGAATGGTACCAGCAAGAAAAAGAGCAGCAACTCGAACAGTCTGCAAACAAGTGGTAGGAACAGGCAAGAAGTAAAAGGGCCTGGCAAAGCTGTTTGACCTATAGTTGTATTCTGATGACATCGGCTGCTCCACAACGGTCATATTTCGAACTGTATTGGTACCGTTATGTTTTTTAGTAATTACCTGGACAAGCTATTTTTTTGTAAAATTAAAGAACGTACGCCGTATGGCTGGATGGACAGCAGCAGTTGCTGTGGATCCTTCTGCTGCGATGGCGCTGTCCAGGAAACTGCCAGCAGCATAAATACCACAACCGTAATGCATTCCAACTTTGTCATGGTTGATAACGTCTCGAACTTCCTTTTGACTTTCTGATCGACGATTTATTCACTGGTGTCGGATGCAGAGCAATCCTAAATCTACAAAACGACTAACTTCAAAATGCACACTAAAAAGTTATGTTGAAATACTCGAAAACACAGATCGGTTACATCAGATGTCCTGTATAATAACAAAACTTTTCCAACTCTCTTAAGCAAACTAAAGTAATTTTCAGCTTCCTAGCTCTTCTGGCTCTCGAGATAATTTTTCTCGCCAAAACTTCCACGAGATCGTAAAACCTAAGCGTACGTGAAAGCTGAATTAGAACTTGTGGAGTCGTAGGTGGGCATTATCCTAAAAATTCAATCCCCGGCTTACTTGTTTCCCAAAATAATTTTTCCCGTCAAAATCTTGCAGGACGGCATATGATACCCGGGCGCGCGGAAAGGCCATATTTAAATTTGCATACATGGGCGAGGGACATTACCCCAAAATTTTAATTCCCCAGCTTTTGTGGTTCTCGAGATAATTTCCCTCGCCAAGGCTTTAAAGGCGTCGTACGTAGTACCTAGACGTAGGGGAAGCTAAGATTGAATTTGCGAGGTTATACATGGACGGGGAACATTCTCCTGAAATTTTAACTTCCTGGCTTTTGTGATTCCAGAGTTCAAAGTTGCGGACAAAATGTACTCGCGTGCGCACACACAAACACGCACATACATACACAAACACACACACACACACTCACCCACAGGCCCTTGATAATATGCGTTTTGTGCAGCTACTGCGTAGCACAAAACGCTTAACAATAGTAGTTGTGGATGGAGCTCGAAATCTGTCCTATGATGTGTGTATGTGACCTCAGAGGTCAGTGTGAGACCTAGGAACGAGATGTATAAATACTGTTCGCTAAACGACTGCTGCCTCAGCATCCCTCTCTTCTTTTTATGCGTTTTTCGCATCTATGCAATGCAGAAAACGCATATTGGCGAGAGGTTGTCTGTGTGTGTGTGCCTGTGTGTCTGTATGTTCGCCTGTGCCGATTTTTCATCTCGAGAGCTACAAAAGCTATAGAGCTGAAACTTTGGGAACTTAATCTACACTCGTTTACAGATTCCAACTCCAAGATGCGCGCTCTTACCTGCGTGGTACCTACGTACGGGCCCAACAAATTTTTTTTCTAGCAAGTTGCTAACTCGGGGAACTAAGAACTTAGAAGGCTGTAATTTCAAGGGGATGTTCACTGTCAAAGTAAGTCTTGAGCCAAACCTAACCCTCGAGTATGCGTCGTTCCTATGTACGGGCTTTTTTGCGGGTATGTTGCTAATTCGGGAACCACGAAAACTAGAAGGCTGAAATTTTAAAGGGATGTTTCCTGACAATCCTGGTGGCTAGTCTCAATTCTTTTAGCTAGAAGCATCTGCCGTAAAAACCAGTGCAGATAGCGACAAAAATCTGCGGGAAACTATGCAAAGAACGCATTTTCGCACCGGCAGCCGGTGCGCTGTCCATTTATTCTTTCGTATTTTGTGGGCATAATAGTACTTGCTAATATGCTGGGCACTGCAACTTATTTTCGCTTTTTCACATTTTCTTTTTTTGTTTTTGCAACTGATTTTTTACATGGCTGGCCTATGCTAGGCTGATGACGGGTGTGTGAATATTCTGTTTAAATGACCTTGGATTAGTTTCTAGTAAACTTTTATTTATTTCACACATTTTTAGGATACAATTACAGCCATATAAACAGAGCCCTAAAAATGCAGCACATCATAATACAGAATGATGATGGCTAGGCAAACCTGGGAACAAGCTAAACGAGCCCAATGTGCGAAGTCTTTGGCTAAAATCAGATGTACCAGTCATCAGAGTAAACGCTCCAACAACTCAAAAAAAATATGTTTCCTTTCCACCCGCATTAAGAGAAGAACCCAATTTTAATTACAAATAAAATAGGTTGGGAACGTGAGCAGAACGACAGATTCAACTAAAAGAAAAAAACCAATCATACAATAGCACCATAAGTTGAAGAAACAAAGATAACTGCAATCAGTCCAAAAAAAGAAAAATTATTCGTTTCATTGTTCAAGACAAATAACCTATTATCACAAACGAGTGAAATATATATACGGAAGTAACCATTGTGTCAGAAAGGTGACCTTGTTCAGCATTGATGCTCACGACATCATATTGTCGTATAGCTCAGAGATGGCGCAAAAAAAAACCTTTAAAGAAAAAATTTAAGGAAAAGATGTGGGATGTTTCACAAATATAGATTAACTGTTTAGATGAAGAATGGAAGCCACACAGAAACTCTTGAAAATCTGAGAACTGCCCTAGTATGAGCAAACCGACATTACATCGAAATATCTTCTTACAGCATTTCCTGGATCAAAAGCTTCTCCCAAGCAAATCAATTTTCGGATATTTCAACAGTTGATAAAATCATCGCTTTTCGTGACAGTAAAATTGCTTCAGAAGAAACCATATGTCAAAATAAAGTTATACCGAGGGAACATTACACTGAGAAAAAATCAAATATGTCTTTATTATACAAAGTAATTTTCATCAATGTTAAGCCCTGCGCCCAACGAGTTGATTTCGAACGAGATCCTCATCATGGCCGCCTGCAACTGATAACGAATTTTTAATGCCAGATACTTTACCAAAAGATCTGATGTAATTCGCCCCAATCGTTTGCTTTGCTAAGTCTTTTATTTCAACACAGCGCATCTTCAGGTCACTGGCGCAATTTCTGTACCTTCCTGCACAGCTGCTGTGACCGGAGTTGCATTATCTGCTGCTGCTGGTCAGTCCACTGGTCATCCTGACCACCGTTTCTCTGTATACAGACAAAACGGCCTTTCTACCGCTTTTCTAGCCCATCAAATGACTCTCGTTATTATGTCATCTGAAACTGCCGCCATCGTACTTGGGTTAATTAGCAGTGTGGGCTAGTTGCACAATATCTTCCATAAACCAACAGATTCCCAATTCAGAGATGTCTGGAGATGGTCTTGTGCTCCTTTTTTTACCCCAATGCAACGCTTTTCCATTTTCATCATCTACACACTAGTTCTGGCAACTATATGCAAACGATACACGAAATGGCCTGAAAATCACAACAGTACCCCCGACGTCAGAAACATAAACAGAAACCGGAGCAGCACGACATCAGAATTAAATTGCCGGACTAAATATTTACTGGAGCCAGAGACTAGACATTCTTGTTCAGAATAAATTTGTTCAGTTTTAAATTATTGTATCTGCCTTCAGCAAAAAGTTTCCAAAATATCACAAGCATTTTGTGCAAACAACTTTTGGAGTAAAAACATAAATCTCACATAGTAAGGCGATCAACAGCAGCTTGAAGTTCGGATTCAGTAGCCTGAGGATAGGCAACAGTGGTGAGCAACTCGACTACGAACTGATCGCATACACCGGGGCAATTCTTTTCTGCTTCTTTGAATGCCATTGCAACTGCATCCAGATCGGCTCCTGAATGACGTGTGCGCGCCAACTTATCCAAAGCTGGTAGCAGTGTGTACTCCAAGGCACCCTGTAATTTAATTTTTGAAAAATTAAGAAATAACAGAATGGGCGGTTGAAGGATCAGTTTAAGTGTGATGTGCAAGAAGATGTGTTTCAAAGATATGTTTCATTCCTTAGCTGTAAACAGAGACAGAACGCAGCATGCGAGTAGAAGTCTCTTCCACTACCCGTTTTTGATAAGTAACGGTAATTGATATTACCTTTCGTCTTGGCTGTTCATAAGCAGTAGACTCATCAGCTTTATTCTGCTGATAGGAAGCCCGCTGTGAACGAATATTGCTGCCGGTGTTTTGCGACAGAGCGCCGAGGCTATGCTGTGGAGCTGCTTGTGCTGAACTCCGCGATGAGGCATCACTAATTGCGAACGAATGGCGAGTCAGTGATGAGGTCTGAAATGCTGCTTTTAAAATATGAATTACAAATTCGAAAAAGCAAAACGTTTACTATGTAAAAAAGTGCATGGCAGAGATATGTAGGAAACAACGTATTACGCTCCATGTAGATCAAATTAGGGACACCCTTCTTAGGAAATGCTGAACGACAGAAAAAAGGCATCTGCTCGAACTAAATGTTGAGGAGTTCAGCAGCCAGAAGAGTTGAGGGAAGCGTAATTGCCAATATGAATATCAGATACATTAATCTTCACATTTCACTGAGCTGGGGAAACGAACGCAGTTATCGGCAGCCCCAGATGCGCGAAAATAACGGAGGAAAATTTACCCTATCAAAACCGACATCAAATTTTCTCCCCCTCCTCCAAAAACATTCGCACAGGAGCACATTTTTGCGAAAAAAAAGTTCAGTAAACCATGTAGCGACAAAAAAGCTACACATACAGGTGAACTGGTTGGTGACGAGACAGCTATTGTTGTCGCATTGCCGTTGTGTGCTACCTGGACACCACCATTCACTGTTGCACCTGCATTCGTGTAAAGTGACGAGAAATGTGTGTTGTAAGCACCGGAACTGGATGGGTACATCGACGTTTGACGAAGATCGTGAGTTAATTGGGCCACTTTCTGAAACAGCGCTCAATTCGCCATTTCTTTTGCATATATTTGTACGGACAGTTGGAGAGCCATATCATGGAATAACAGTTTGTCCCAAGTATACTGAATTCTGTACATAAACCGTGCTGGGGGTGCCTTGCAGGGGTAACGTATATAAATCAGGAAAAGATAACGTAGAAGGACATGGCGCTCAAGCAAATCGTTGTGATCAGGTGGCATTTGAATTTTAAAGGTCAAAACCGAATGTATTCTAAGGCCTTATTTCGTTCCCATCACTGTTGCGTTCTCTAAGATGTCATACAGCTTAAAATTCTCATAGTTCCGGCAAATAACTTCCGGAAAAAAATTCCAGTCAACAGCTCACCCAGCTCCGAATGAATAAGGCATAATGCAAATCAGACATCGCTTCGACAAAACGGCGCCAATTTTCGATTTTTCGCACCTTATTTACTTAATATGTCTCTTTTCTTAGCGTTTTAAAGCTGTATTTAAGTTTCTGGACCTTGCTGAGTTTCATCTGCTCATTTCCCAGCTGATTTTAAAATTTTGGCGTATATTTCACTTTTTCAAATTTTTTCTTTGTAAACGATTCTAACAATTATTCAAAATAAAAAGGAGTAGTCATCTTCTTTCTGAATCATCAGTCAACGTTCAGAATTTCTGAACGCACCTGTGTTGACCGTATAAAGCTCTACTTCAGACCTGTGTGGTGCTCAAATGTTCGCTGTCTAGTATAGAGCATAACTCACAGAGTCATGATTTCTGTTAACAATCGTTGCATTGGGACTCATATTTCTTGGCTGATATGTTGCGATGGATGGCCGAACGTGCTCATTCTTCACTCGGACAGTATTCTGATCAGCATTCGACTCATCCGATGCATTGCTTGTGCCCTGCGGCGCTTTCACCGTATTGAACACCCAGTCTGTTCTGCAACAAGAATGCATGCTCTTTAAAAATGGCCTTTATAACGATCAAAATCACAAGACGATAACAGTAGTGCCATATTTTCGATCATTTTTCGTACAGGATGTGCAGTGTAAAGGGAATTTTCACAGTAACATCCGCCGCATTCAAAATAAGCGAACTGACAGTGATTCAAGTTTTGAATGAGGGCTAACATACCCGCCGTTAGTGTCAGTTTCTTCATCCTGATCCGAATCGCTGCTTGGTTCTAGCCGTGTCTTATATTCCACGCTACGCTCAATCAGATCCATCAAGAATGAATTTTTCTTCGCCTTTCTAATGAACGCATGCTTTAGCAACTCCTTCGCGGAAGGCCTCTGAAAAAACAAACTGGTGACAAAACACAGGTTTCAAAAGGTTAAAAACGCGGGTTCGTACATCGAAGATCAAGTGTTCATAAGCTTTTTGGAGATTCATACTTAACTGATTCACAGCAAACCCCCTTTGACCGATAATTTCATTGTGACGGAACGTAGAAAATATCCTGAATACATTCACTGAAATAGTGCGCAAATGCTAACAACTTTTCCTGCAGAGTAATTGTAAAAGAAAGCAAAGGGGCAATCACCAGAGGGACCAGAAGTGGTGCAGCTCCGATCACACCAAGTATGCTAGAATAACCAGATTATTTCTGCTATAGCAAACTAGAAGTGAAGGACATGAGTCTTAATAAAAACGGAGAGATATGAGCCCGTGGTATTCCATAATTTCCGGTTCTCAATGCGCCGAACAAGAAAACTGGCCGATACAACATCAACAAGAGACACTGCAATACTAATATGATGAAGCTTCAAATAATAATAAATGGCAACGCGCACCAGACTAGCCGGTGCGATCATGCGTTTTGTGCAATTCAGCC